ATCATCGTACTGCCAGTTTCCCAGCGCATATCCAGTGCAGTTTGGTCGTACACTGGCATGCGAATCTGGGCCCAACAGTAAGATGAATAAAAAACTTCTTTTGGCTTTAAAATTCCCCTTTCAAAAAACGTACCCACTTGAGACGCCTCCTTTTTCCTGCAAACCCTCTTTTTTCATCGAAAATACCTTCTCCGCACATTATCGTCTTTATTCCTATCGGCAGTTAGGGTCATACCGCTGCCGCAAAAACAAACTCGTTGAACGAAAAGAACCCCAAGCATTTGAAGAAAAGCTTCAAACTCTTCATCAGAAAGCGTAAGCTTCTGAGAAAGGCCCCAACCGAAACTACGTAAGCAATCCATTAGAGTTTGAAAAAACGCACACCAATTAACACTTAATTGGTAGAAAACTATGAATGACATCCAAGGATATCAGAGGATAACTTTCAGCCTCCGGGATTTGCAAACACAAATAGAGATTCTGAAGCTCTATCAGCGAAAAACCTAGGTATTCGGTAGGAATAAAACCAACGACCACTACGCGAAGCGCTAGCTCACAATCAACTGCGCCAAATGAAAGCTCGATGTTGAAGCATTTAAAAGTATATTTGAAGTTTTTTGCGATTAGGTAAATGAGAGGAAGAGGAAGAAAGCTTCTTGAGCTTCGTTCGCTTCACCTACCTTTCCCTCTTCTTTACCTGTGTCCGAAAGAGGGACATTTGCTGTTTTTTCAGCTTCCTCCCCCTCTTCATCAAAATGCACTCACCGGATGCCTTACGATGAAAGGGACCATTTGACGTCCAGTCAGTTGGCTGAACCAACCAATTTCATTTTCTTCCGGATACAGAAGAAAACTTGCAGAACACTTACGTTTTCCGAGTTCCCTATATAACTGTATGCAACCAACTCTGGACGGGTTGCGCAGGCTGTGCATCAGGGAAGTGAGGGGATATCTACCACCGTTATCAGTGAGTTATACATACTGTATATGACATCCACAGACAGTAAAAAAAAGCAGGCTTCTGGTTGGCATCATCCCCTCCAGCCAATCAGCATGATGGAGCCACCAGTCTAAATGAAAAAGGAATATTATACTTTTCCAATTTTCACTCTAACAACTACCTAGCTGCTCCAATAGATAAACCCTGAAAACATCACACTGCAAGAAAAATCCCGTTTCAAGCAAAACGATCGACGAAATACAACAATGTTATACAATAATACGAAATACAATAAAGCTACATAAGTTCTGCAGCACTTCACCTTTGGCATCTTCCCCTTACTTGATACAACTGGACGTTCAAAACTTTATCGCTACAAAAGCATTTTTGACATGGGCAAAACAGTGCTTCAAATTTACTTCCAATCAACTTTGAGAGCATATACTTGGCATTCAGTTCTCCCTCTAAAACTCCTCCCATTAATAATACCATTCATATGCCATATCTGACGCATTACCGCTTAACCTGTAGAGAAGAACAATGTTTTCCACCCATTACTTGAAGCAGACCTAGAAAAGAACTAATCAACACCGATTTTCTTATGCAAACGACAATCAAAAAACCGCAAAAATTTAACAAATTAGGATGGTGTAAAAAATTTGCAGTATTTGTTCATGCCGATTACGCCTCACAAAAACGCACAAAATTTCATTATCCTCTTCTCTTACTTATAACAAATACACAGTTAGGTGCGCACAAGCGAAAAATAAATTAACAACACCAGATGATGCAAACTCACTTTACACGACAACGAAATAAGACTTCTCAAACACGAAAAGAAACAAAACTTTGGTTTACGTCAAAAGGTCATTCCAGACTATATGAATTTTACATACCATGACACATTTAGTAGTCTCACTCACGAAACTCTACCCACAGAACCTGCGTTTCGGAAAAAACCAACACTTTAAGGCGTGGTGAGGTGCGCCCTACGTTCTTCTTCTAGACCTTTTAAAATTCTCCACATCAAAAATTTTTAACTCTCCGCAAGATATCTGAAAACTTATTTCTAATTTTTCCGGAAGCTGTTTCCTGCGCATATCTACTAATTATGAAAGTCCCAAAGAACTTGACAGTAATATGCATTGAAAGTAAATTGGTAATTAAGTAATTCTCCCTTAAAAAGTCAAGAAAGTTTACAAAAAAAACATTTAACAATAAAAAGCTAAAAGAAAGCATTTCACAATCTGCAAACCAAACGTAGTGCATAAAAAACTGAGCTGAGTAAAACGGTTGTAAAAAAGAAAACATAAGAAAAAAGGCCCTCAGTGAAATAAGGAAATATTTACTTGAAAACAATACTACAATATCCCGGAAACCAACAAAATCCCCAGTTGTATTCAAAATTATTTACTAAACAAATGTTCATAAAAACTCACCAAAAAGTGAACATATGTGAAATCAATAAAGTCAACATTGCTTTCAATCATACTCAAAAAACCTGAACCC